TTATTTGTTCAAAGTTCTCCCTAAATAAACTAAATAAAATAAGCTCACCCCCAAAACAAAAGCTCTTTGAGGACATACTCAATAATTTGCAAAAGGTAAGAAGAGACTGTATCTAAGCCTTGAAATCAATAGTTGGTCAATGGACATTTATTAAGTGCCTACTATGTGCTGGGAGACTAGGAAAGGTTTGCTGAAGAAAGTGGGATTTTATTTTTTGGTTTTTTGGTTTTTTTGGCTAGGCAATGGGGTTAAGTGACTTGCCCAGGGTCACACAGCTAGTAAGTGTTATGTGTCTGAGGCCGAATTTGAACTCAGGTCCTCCTGAATCCAGGGCTGGTGCTCTATCCATTGTGCTACCTACTTGCCCAGAAGGTGGGATTTTAGCTGGGACTTGAAGGAATCCAGAGGCAGAGATGAGCAGTGGGAGCTTTCTAGGTATCAGGGACAGCCAGTGGAAATGCTTGGAGGCAGGAGATTGAGTGTCTTGTTGAAGAAATATCAAGGAAACCAATGTCAATGGATTGAAGAGTAGAGGGGTGGGATAGGATATAGGTGTAAAAACACTACAAAGATAGGGAGGATAGGTTATGAAGGGCTGTTGTCCCTTGATAACTAAATGAGCTGATGAAAAGTCTAGATATGTCTCACTTCCATTATCTGATGATCTCAAAAATGTCCACAATGTGATCTACACAGCTAGTGAGTGTTTGAGGCCAGATTTGAACTCATGAAGATGAGTCTTGCTGACTCTAGCCCTGGCACTCTATCCACTTTGCCATCTAGCTGCCGTGTGGGGTATACCATCACCTTTCAATTAGCAGTAGAACCTGAGAATCCTAAAGCTAGAAGGCATTTTGCCCATTGTGAGCTCTGAGATAAAAACGGAGTTTTCAGGTCAGCTGGGTGACCTGTCTCACAAATCTCAAAAACACATCTTGTCACGGTCTGTCTCCCCTGGGTCCTGTCACTTTGGCAGCAAGGCTATGTCACCGGGAATGGCCACTCTCTAGTGACGACAGATAGAGTGCTGTCATACTGAAGGCTCGACAGACAAAGCCCTCCCCGCCTGCTAACAAACAGAAACTCATCTTGGAAAGCAGGAGCTTCTCTTTGATGTGCCACTCTATGCAACAGACTCTGGTTTATCCCACCCTAGCCCCTAGGATTCTTTTTTTCTAAAGCAGCTGAAAACTAAGATTAGCGAGAAGTGGAATCTATGCTTCCCTGGCAGACCTTTCTCCCTCTCATCTCTCTGCTCACGCATAAACACACTTCTGGCTGTCTGGTCTGGCCACTTGGAAAGCTGTGATCCAGGAAAAATGAGGAAGCCTGCAACATAAGTCATTAAGATAATATATTAATAGGAAAACCTAACTCTAATCTTACCAGAAACTTGACTTGGTTTCATGAGTCATCTAAAAACATTCTTACTCTCAACTATATCCCACACTAAAAAGTTGACTATGATCTTAAGGTCAGGTAGTATTTTGACTATAAGATGAATTTAGGGATAGGAATTAGGACTGGACCTATAGTGTCAATAATATAGGGAACTTTCTGATGAGGAAACTCCCTGTATCAAAGTAGGTTGGAATCTTCTCTGCAACTTCCTGTTTTAGAAAGTTGCCTAGTTAAGTGACTTGACCAGGGACATACAAAAAGTTGTTTCAATGGCAGGACATGAATCCGGGTCTTCCTGGCTTTTCACAGCCAGCTGTCTATTCACTATACCTTATCTGTCTCAAAAACATAAAATACAGGGGCAACTAGGTGGTGCAGTGGATAGAGCACTGACTCTGAAGTCAGGAAGACCTGAGTTCAAATTCGGCATTAGACCAAACACTTGACATTTACTAGCTGTGTGACCCTGGGCAAGTCACTTAACCCCAATTGCCAAAACATTTTTTAAAAAATGTAAAACACATTTTTAAAGAAGTTTTTTTTAATTTGATGATTTTTCATTTTAATGTGTTCTTAACACATTCAAAATATGTAGTTAGTAGTAGTTTCCTAGGCACATTAAAATACTGGTAATTTTTTAAAATGAGGAAAACCAATAAGAAACAGGCACTGATTCATCTTGAATGCTAATGCTAAGAAGAAAAAAAATAGGTTAAAATTAGGAAAATCAGGAAGACAGAGATAGATGGCACCTTTGGTCGAGCTCCATCCTCTTCCCTTCCAGTCTCCCCCCGCCATGGCAGAGCCCATGAGAGATGGACTCACACCTGGACTTTGGGCAAGTAACTTAGCCCCTCTTGAGCCTGTATTTCTTCACTTGTAGAGAAAGAATTGGCAGGATTTGGCAACTAATTCTGAACCTGGGCAATATGGAAAACGGTAGTGCCTCTGGTAAAAATAGGAAAGTTGCAAAGGAAAGATACATTAAGGAGGCGAAGATGATGAGTTCAGCTTTGGACACACTGACTTTTAGATTTCAGGTAGAGAGATCCAGCAGGCAGTTTGAGATGCAAGGATCATTGAGGTCATTGAGTCTAATCCCTTCATTTTACAAAGGAGGAACCTCGGGCCCAGAGAGGCTAATTGACATGGGAGTCTAGGAGACAGATGATAGTTGGAAAAATAATTTTGGGATCCCTTTGCATAAAGGTTACAAGTGAACCCATAAAAGTAGGTGGTAACTCCAGAGAAAGAGATGACAAGTGGAAATATGTGTAATACTGTCTTATATATATATATATATATATATATATATATATATATATATATA